TATGTTTTGAATTTTAGTAGGACAAATCAATCGTAGTACATGGAAAGAGCTTTATTTTAAAGTTGGTGGCAAAAATAAGGCAATCAATTAAAAACAGGTAGTAGTCAACAGGAACCGTTGCCTTATTTGCGATAACCCATTAGAACAATCCAAATTAAGCAATAATGGCCAATGGGGCCATGCAAATAAAGCAATAGGACAAATACACATTCTGAATTTCCACAAAAACTCGTTCAATTTTCTTATACAATAAAAAAGAAAACACGAGGCTTAATCTGAAAGTAGCACAGAATTTTCACAGAGTTTTACTCCACTTCTTGGAGAAAGTAAAAGTGTAATAAACAAATGACAGGTTCACAATACCACCAACCTGTTGGAGCTTATAAAACTAATCTAACCTAGAAATAGTTTTGGTGCCACCAGTCACCACGGACCATGTCGTGTTATTTTCCACTTCCATATTATGTCCTGAAATTTTATACACATATTTGGTAGATTCACATTACTTATGAGATTTTACCTTTTGCCCTGAAAGCTAGATTGTAACCTTTTCTGTATTACACGTATTACACATACAACTGCATTATTACAATTTACGCAGTTGGTTGGTATTGCAAAAAAAAATATTTATATACATAACGTATTGTGATTGCAATGCGATCTTACACGCATATTTTACAGTGCAGACCGCCACTGGCAGCTCATAGCAACCTGTGACGCTCTTTGAGAGCTTCACCATTGTGTAACAGAGATCAATGAGACCTTTAAACGTTCGCTTTATCCTTAATATTCTCCTTGGAAGGAAGTAAAGTCGACATCAGCACAATAAAATGTCTTGTCTGTGTCTAGATGTAGCGTGGATCGTCTATTGATTTCGCATGGCAGGCTTCTAATAATAGCTATACGAAAAGCAGATATTCATCTATGAAATGCAACAACAAAAATGTCTTTTTAGATAGAACTCGCCCTGATGCACTGGTTATAAGCATGAATAGAAATCAAGCTGATCACTATCAACCTGAGATGTGGCTATTCCGAGGATAATTTTTTAAGTAGGAACCGTTTGGTGATATAGTCAGAGAAACTTTAAGAATGTTAGTTGTAATATGGACATTTTTTTTAATTTTCAATATAGTCACCATAACATTATTCGAGATGTGGCACCAGCTCCTGGATCCCTACCGCCTTAAATTAAAATTTTAAGGAACAACCGCTGTTGGTATGTCGGTAAAAAGTAGGAAGACTCTAGAAACTATACTAAGTGACATATACATCCGAACACCCAGTTTAAATGGTTTTATTTTAATAAAAGTTGGTGAATGTATATATCTTACTGTAAATAACAATTGAAAAAATGTTCAGCCTTATCAGTTGGACATACCGGTTTTTATACTGCGTTTTTTTAATTCACTAACGCTCTAAAAATGAATATTTCAGCCGCAGTAAAGAATCAACGTTGGCGGATTTTGGTTCTTGACATCCTTTACGATCGGTAACGATGCCTAGAGTACGGAGACCTGTACGATTTCGTCAACTTAGTGAGTTTGTTAGGGGCCGTATAGTGGGACTTCGGGAAGCTGGACTTTCTTTTCGGGAAATTACAGTTAGAGTGCAAAGAAGTGTAGACACTGTGGTTAGGTGTTGTCAGGCATGGCTTCGAGAAGGCCGTACGCAAAGAGCAAGGGGCACTGGACGCCGCCGTAGAACAACAGACCGTGAAGATCGCCGCCTAAGATTATTGGCCTCAAGGGACCGTTTCTCCACTACCAGGTCCATTGCAAATGAATGGTTTTCAGAACACGGACGACCTATTGGCATGCGAAGTGTTTACCGACGAATGAGAAGTTTTGGCTTGTTTTCATACCGGCCACACTGGGTCCTCCCTTTAACTCGAGAACACCGACGTAATCGCCTTGAGTGGTGCACACAACGGTCACTCTGGGATCAGGAATGGAACAGTATTGTCTTTAGTGACGAGTCTCGATTTTGTTTAGGCATGCACGATGGTCGTGCCAGGGTTAGAAGGCGACGTGGTGAAAGGAGGAATCCACAGTTTTGTGTTGAAAGACATGTTCATCACACTGTTGGAGTTATGGTTTGGGGTGCTATAGCTTATGGTTCCAGGTCACCTTTAATCTTCATCAGAAGTAACATGAACGCGCAGCGTTGTATCCATGAAGTTTTAGAACCCCATCTTTTACCCTATCTTGACACCCTGGCAGATCCAACTTTCCAACAAGATAATGCCCGACAACATGTTGCAAGAGTCACAATAGACTTCTTTCAACATAATGATGTCACATTGTTACCATGGCCACCAAGATCTCCCGACTTATCCCCAATTGAGCACGTGTGGGATATGATGGGTAGGAGATTGCTCAATTTGCAACGTCCTCCTCAGACTCTAGAAGCACTTCGAGAGGAGTTGGTGGTTGCCTGGAATGAGATACCACAGGAGGACATTGACCACCTGATCAGAAGCATGCCTAGGCGCGTTGGAGAATGCGTAGCACATCAGGGTGCATCCACACATTATTAAAGGTCAAAGGGCTTTAAAGCAGTGCAATCATTTTGAAATTTTTATCATTTACTTATTATGGTTCATTAAGCACTTATACAAAATTTTATTAAAATAAAACCATTTAAACTGGGTGTTCGGATTTATATGTCACTTAGTATATAACGGAAAAATATCCTCCGGCTAATGCAATATTTCGGAACTACTGGACCTCAAAAATCTATACATCGAGTTACATATCATCGTCAAGAAAATTTAATAGGATACTCAGGACCATGGACTGCTTCGTTTCTATGACGTTTAATCTTATCCGTCTTTAATAGTTTGCCATCCATTTCTCGAAAACAGATTGAGATATTTTCTCCTAAGGCCACATAGGGGCACTCAAGCTAGCAAGTCCCTATATTTAGCAAAAAACACTGAGGCACTGGTTTCCGCAAAAATAATGTCAATATCCTAAAGTCAGGCTAAAATTTGTCTCGTGGGGTCTTTCGCTCAGAAGCCCCGTTTTCGATTTTTTTTAATCAAAGTGCTTGTAAACTTAAAAAAGCAAAACGAAAATTTCGCTAAACATAAAGTATAGAACGGTATCATGGAAACGAGGAAGTCTCGGAAGCATGTTTTCATATTTTTACGTAATGAATCTGCCCGTAAATTTTTCTGGCAAAATTCCGTAACACCCTGTATAGAGTACATACTTAGACAGCCCGGCACCTTATATCTATTTTATACAGCCGAAAAAATTGAATCACGAGAGGATTTCGCAACTATTGCTCTTGAGTCACAAATCAGAAGAAGACAGATTACATCCCATATATCACCGGCCTTTTACCCTCTTTCATCGTAATAAAAGAATCAACTAAAGTGAGTGTATCAACTCCTCCAGGCCTCGTGTAACTGAAAAACTCCAATTCTCAGCGCATCATTATCTTCTGTCGACAGCAGAACGCAGAACGGCGGCTTTTTTGCCATAGGCGTAGCTCTTTTTATCTTTACACCAACAATGTCAGAAAGGATTAAAAAATATCAAGCAAGGTGACTCCGTGCTTCATCGGTTCATAAAAGATTACGTTCGTCATATGTCCGCCCCTTTTGCAAAGAATAACAAATGAATTGAATGGATCAAGTAAGTCAAATAGTTTCTTCTTTGCCCTACCGACCATCCAATAACGATGTTCCGGTCATAGGTGTGACGAGTTAATCTCACCAGCCGCAACGGCCAGAACACGTACTCTTATTGTACTTTACATATACCAGATATCACCGGAGCTCGATCCTTTCACGTTTTTGCAGATGACTAACGAGGATGCCATTTTCTCCATTTTCTTAAGGGGCTATTTATTGTTTTTTAGTTTTTCTATGCTTGAACTACCACGAAGGCACCCGTAGATATCGTGGGAGGATGCAGGGTAAAGTGATGACGTCATCCGGACTCTAGCGACCTCCACGCTCGACAGTCTGCGACCGTTTACCACTGAAGGACAATTGGAAAAGAATTCGAACCCATGCAAACTCACGGCGACTAATTAGTAGACACACAACGTCTACCACTACACCACCGCGCTACATAATTTCCTTCAAAAAATATACCACTGAGTCGTGGGTGGTAGTGTAATGGCGAAGATCTATGTCAAATATTCAGCTATCTGTCTTGATTTCTCCCTAGGCTTCACACCAGAAGTTCGATCCAGGAGTAACTACGCCAAGAATGATTTTTTGGACGTAACCAAAATATTCGGAAATGAAATATGTTTTTGGACGTTGGTAATCTTTCCTTGCAGAATCAACCTACTTGGTGTCCTCTTTTCAGGTTGTGAGCACCAGTAGAGACGTTCTAAGTCTTATTTTTCAACATTCGTGTGATACAACTGGCGTTTTAAAGAAGCTTCAAAACCAACTGAAAGGTCAGCATATTATAATGAATAAGTATTGAGTTAGTCTACTTGACTTCATTTTTTCAACAAATTTCGTTTCTTCATTCAATAGTGGTAAAACTAGCTGTTCAAGCCGCTCTTGAAAAAACGCATAGAAGACTGACCGCAACAACTACAGGACTTTACCTTTACTTTCGGAGATCAGCAACGTATATCGTATCGAAGATATGAGCACCGTAAATGTCTGTATCTAAGCCATATAAAGTAATAAAGATAATAAAATATTGTGATGTAGATAGAAATGTGCCCTTATGCTCCACCCCTGTTTTCTGATCATCTTTTGAATCCTGTGCGTTGTAAGGGGTGTCGCGTATCAGAAGTGAGTTATTCGAGGAAGGTACCCTTATAAATGACCGTCATTCCTAAGGGCGACTGTAGCTGACAGCGTCTCCGAAGAAAAGTTTTTAAATGAATGTATTATCACTGCGAAAGGCACTCTTCACTCTCTTCAGCCTTGCTCAACGTGAAAATAAGGCTTTGTGACAAAACTTGAGCGGTATCTTAACAGTTTTAGGTGGAACCTGTGTGCTATCAAACAGACTACGAGGGATGTCTTTTAAGTTTTGCATATGGAAATAAAACAACACGGTAGGTAGTTTTAAATGACTTTATTGTTTTTCGAAGTATTCTCCACGAAGATTAATACACATCAGCATGTGCTCGAACCAATTATTCCACTCGTTTGCTGGCAGATCCAAAACGGCATTTTTGAATGTGTCGACTGTTTCTTCTGGTGACTGGAACCTTTGACCACGCAGTCTGTTTTTAATTTTCGGGAAAGTAAAGAAATCATTAGGACTTAGATCGGGACTATATGGAGGACGGTCCAATAATTCCACGTTTTCTTCCGTTAAATACTGCCTTGTTTTTTGGGCTGTGTTCGAGCTTGCATTGTCTTGGTGGTGGATGATTCTTCTTTCGGGGTTGATTTTTCGAAGCTCGGTGATGACTTTTGGCAAACCAATGGTGGTATACCAATCCGAGGTAACAGTTCTTTGCTCACTAAGAGGAATTGTTGCAATATGACCCGCTTTTGACACAAATGTCGCGACCATCTTTTTCGAAACGAAGAACGGATGACTTTTGTTGGCGTTTCTTCACCTTGGAACACCCAAACAGCCGACTGTCGTTTATTTTCTGGTTCATACCAGTACAGCCACGATTCATCACCACCAGCAATACTGTACACATTTTTTGAGTTTCCGGAATTGAAACGGTCAAGCGTTTTTTGACACCAGTTAACCTTGGCTGCTTTCTGCTCTTCAGTCAACAGGTGGTGTATCCAACGAGAAACTAATTTTCTTACTCCTAATTCTTCATGTAAAATTTTTTGAATTAAGGTCTTTGAGATCTTCAAGGACACCTCAATCTCGCTATACGTCACATGTCTATCTTCAATGATGAGTTTGCGCACAGCATTGACGTTTTTCCTGGGTGACTGCCGTTTTTGGTGCACCCACCCTGGGATCGTCGCTAAGACTCACCCGTCCACGTTTGAATTCTCCATACCAACGGGAAATTGTCGACTGATGTGGCGTTTCGATACCGAAAACAGACAGTAACTCAGCAAGGCATTCTTGTTGCGATAATTGTCTCCGAAAGTTGCAATAAATTATGGCGCGAAAATGTTCTCGGTTGAGTTCCATTTTTCTAATGACTTGGTGACACTGTAGTGAGAACACTGCACGTATTGTTGTGAAACTTTGAATCTACGTTTACTAAAGTGTGAGGTTAAGATTCAGTACTGACCTTCTATCCGCGCGGCCTACTATGTTTCTATATGCAAAACTTAAAAGACATGCCTCGTAACACGGTACACTCCATTTATTCTGAGATGTTTATTCTCTAGTATGAGATATATCCTACTTAACGGATAAAAGAAACCATAAAGGTACACGCCCATAAGTCTGCACCTTACATTTTCTTTATTTACATCAAACTGACTAATTCATCGTATTGCATCTGTAGTATCCACAGCAAGAATCGAGATTTAGTTTATATGCTTTATTGTTCTACTACATGTCTTAAGGGTTAAGTCGTTTATGATTATTATTGTTGTATATCACAGAGATCAATTGTTGCTCACTTGAAAATGCCGTTTCTCGTAAATATGGATTTAATTTTGGATACATAAATATGTTCTAGAACTAAATTTCGGGAAACTGGGTCAGTCGCTAATAAAAAACGATTTTGCTGGGCGATTACAATTTTGTGAAGATGTGAGTGAACGAATTATAAACGATGAACATTTTCGATTCAACACTTGCTTTTCCGACGAATATTCCTTTTTTCTTAAATGGCGTAGTAAATCGTCATAACTGCCGATATTGGTCCGATTATAATCCCAGAATTTATCATGAGGTTCATACGCAGCAGCCACAAAAATTAAATGTTTGGGCTGGTACTTTTGGGGATCATTTAGTTGGTCCTTTTTTCTTACCTGGAAATTTGACCGGTGAAATGTATTTGGAATTACTGGTTTCCAGATCGATGGATTGGTAGAAGAGGTGCCATTGAATGGCCCCGAAGATTGCCAGATTTATCACCTTTGGATTCCTTTATGTGGCGTCATTTAAAAAGCAAAATCTATGCTACCCAGCCAACATCATTAGAAGACCTGCGACAAAGAATTGTGAATGAGTGCCTTCAAATTACTCCTCAAATATTGCAACATATGCGGCAACGTCTGGAGCAAAATCTTTATTATTGCATGGAGAGTCATGGTGGCCATTTTCAACATTTACTTGCCTAATGGGTCAGTTCATTCTTCATTTTTAAATTACTTTGCTGCCAAATGTATTGATCTCGGCTAATGATGATGTATTAGTTTGATTTAAGCTTTAAATCAATAAATCTTCAAAACTACTGAACTGAAGTACATTAATTTTATATCATTGTAAAGGGAATTGAAAGACCTTTAAAATAAGGCATCACTCGACCCCCCCTTTCCATTTAAGATTTTGGGGGTGGTGTCACCCCCGCTTAGGGAGCTGCACGTGCTAACGTAATTTTTTGCCAAACTTGTGTCCCCCTCGAAAAAAAAAAATCGACGGGTCTGCGTGTGCTAAAAAAAACTGAGCTGCCAGTAAATGCGTCTGTTTCGCTTTCGATGCGCCAACTTGTATATGCCGCACATTTCGATGCAATACTCCGATATATTTATAGACGAATATATTGTTTTAATTTTAAAATATATTGATGTACCCCACCTTTATATATATTTCTGCAGTAGTAACCGCAGAGCGAGTATCCGTTGACAGTTTGACTCTCAATCGAATCCTTAAGAGCCAATGTCTCTAAACATAATAATTCTACGGTTTCATTATTGTTTATTTTCAGAAGCAGTTGATACATTTTTTTGGAGTTGCTGCTTTGAATATTTCCATGAAATGGTCGTAAGGGCCTAAAAACTTATACTTCTTGGAAATCCGATTTCGTTGTTAGATTTAAAGGTGTTCTGTACTCGGCCAATTATAAAGTTAATGACACAAGGAATGACCTAGTTTGCTGGCTGAAATCGCCATGTCTCAAAGATGCCGTTTTGCTGCACAGCACAAATTCTTAGAACCGTTAGAAGCATCTCCTCATAATACGCGACCTCACATTTCACGGAAATATTTATTTGACGTTATTTTCTCGTTCCCAGAAATGTACAACAATACATTAAATAGATGTCAACGTTGAAAACGTTCGAGTCGGCTGAAAAACTTGCTCATAATTCGATCACAATAGTGCTTTAAAACTTATTTACAGAATGCGTACACCATCAGCTCTGCTCTCAAGAAATTAATTGTGCAAATGAGATTATAAGCCTACTATTTTTTGAAAGAATAATCGGATTAACTAGGAAAGCTGATTTTGTTACATCGAAAAGGCTAGAAAATTGTGGCATGAACGTTATAGGCTACAACTGACGCCCTCTACACATTTCATAATTGTATTCCGAGCATCCCCAAAAAATCCTGCTTCTCAATTTTCATGACGATATAACAAAACAATGGGCTCAAGTTGGTTTGCTTAGCACTTCCCACTCAACGCTATCAACAGTTTTAAAAGGAATAAGTTCTGCTCAAGTTCGTGCCCCTGATAAATAAGTTAGCTAGGAATGTGTAACAAAAAGCTAAACGGATCAAGTTAGTCAAATAGGCTCATACAACTTGTCCAAAGAAATATTTTCCCTGCCCTAAACACAGTACAAAACATCTGGCAACGTTGCTATGACTAACCTCGCTCATACCTCGCCGCTCGACGACAGCCTCGGCACCAGGGCAGTCACCACCGATTACAAAACAGATATACTCATCGGTTAAATCGCGAAGAATATACCCAACTCATCCGCTACAAAAGTTTTTCTGAAAATGATCAGTAGCCGCTAAAACGAAGTATTTTTTGTCCTTACTTCCGCCGTCACCTTGTGTGAAAATTTTATCAAAATCCGTCCAGATCTGTTCAAGCCCAACTAACAATTATCACTCCTATTAGAGTTGCAAGAATGATTATACAGTATTCCTTACACAGCATTGTATACTGTAAGAACATTGACAAAACCCTCTTAGAACAGCTGTACAAGCGGAATGGGCACACCTAATAAGACACTTCAGTCATTTAAGAGGTTGTATAAGGGCTGCAGGTAACAGTTATACAACAAAAGTGTAAGCCTCTTGCAGCCGCTATAGAACATTTGCGTCAGTGCAAGATTCAGTTTTTGTCAACTATACAACTATTCTGTTACGTGATTATACGTTATTGCAACCAAACTATTTCTTATGTATTGTATAGACGAAGTGAAGAATATTTAACTAACACAATATCATCTTGTTTACTTACATATCGGCCATTGTGAATTTCATACACAGGCATATTATAAACTTCTACACTATGATGTAGGGCTATTGAATTACTTGCACAGCAAATTTTATTGTGATTATCGTGCAAAGTAGTTACGCAATATCTAAGGGTTTCGTATTTGATTTATATTTTGATAATGATCAAAAGTATGTCTAGATTTTTAAGATGGAAAACTGAACTTATCTGCGTTAAATCTTCCACAAATCCTATATCACTTTGTATCTGTAATTTCGAACTGAAACATAATTATTTAATATCAAACAGAGGAATAAATGTTTGCCCAATATGGCGGGTGGTTGTGTATAATCATGGCATCGTCCATGTTGTCTTTAGTTTATTAGAATGTTTTGGTGTTGCCTGCAGGTATTATACAACAATTTGACAAATGGCAGAAATGAAATACCGACAGAGTCGAATGATTTACCTAGAATTTGTACCAGATCTATATCTTCTGTTTGAACAGTTGATAAAACCTTTTTAACCAATATGCATCCGTTGTTTGTCTTAAAACATTGGTATAGCATTTTAACTAAAATATGACAACAGAAAGTTAGGTTATGGTGAAGTTGTATACCAACATATTTAGCAATTACTAAACAACAGTTGTATAAGTGCTTCCGTTGGGAGCAATTTGTTGGCTAAAGTAGTAAATTTGCACAGCAAAACACCAAGGCTCGGGTTTGTTTTATAAACGTTACCATGGATGCCACAACACAACCATTTTGACTAACCTGCAAATAGGCCGTATAAAATAGTTGTATAAACGTTTATGCATCAGTTAAAAATTTGTCCTA